CTCGCCACTATGCCAATAATTATATGAGGACCTCTTAAAGGCAACATCAGAATATAAGAACAATACCTCAAGAAAAAGTTAATTGTAAATTTAAAGCTTCAAACGAGCTGAGCTTGCTCGAGTAAAAGCTTGAGTCAAGCCTGAGTTGAAGTATTAGCTCGACGTTCAGCTCGAGCTTGAATTTGATTTATACATTTATGAAAAGATGTTAAGTTAGCTTAAACTCAGCTCATTCAAGGATTTAAGTCTAACTCTTGTTTCAATAGAGAGGCTAGACACATGAGGTTTTTCAATAAAAACTTTGAAAATTGTATTGTGAAAAATTTTTCGTTTTGAAACTTCAAAGGAAAATTTTACTATGTAAACTGTGTATGGTTCTAAACCAAAGACGCTTTATCTAAATGAGTATAAAGGTAGTATTAATTTAAATTTGGTTTTTTTTTTCAGAGTTTCACGCGTTTCTATTGAAGAGCCCACATAAAAAATTGCATTATATATTGTGATCACGGGATCTATTATATAGTCAGAACTCGTTAAGTGATGTTTTGATAAAACGAATATACACGATATAAGCCGATTCTATTAAACCAAAGATTATTTTTGTGAAAGCATTGATTTCGGTTTAATTAGTATATAAGAGAATAAATCAAATTCGGATTAATAAGAATTTTATCTCAAAACTTGATCACAGTATGGTATCTTTTTTAAAAAAATGAATTATATATGATATGTTAGCATAATAAATAAATATTAAATTTCGAGTTCTGGCCGAGTATAAACTAGGCTCGTTCGGAGCTTGTCAGCAAACAAAACTTCATAGTGAAATTGTGAAATTTTTGAGAAACAGCGGCAATTGATTATAATGTTGATAATAAATAGTACAAAGGATACTAGCAATGAGAAATCAAATGACTGTGAAAAAAATCCAAAACAATTTAATGATAATTTTTTCCTTTTGGGAAAATGAATAGCCCATTGCAAGAAGAAATCTTAGAATTACAATGGCATACATTATTTTGTGGCGGTACTTTTTGAGATTTGGGCTGGTGCAAATATGTATTATTATACACATTAACATTTAATTGATCAGGTAATTAGCTTGGAGATTTGGCTTGGTGTCTGGTTTGTTCAAATTATATAATATAATGTAATATAACATAACATATATTGTGTGTATATATAAATATAGATAGAGAATATTATTTAATTAAATTCAATTAGTGATCATATATATATAAAATTATTTGGTAAATTAATAAAATAATATTTACAAATATTAATCAGATA